GTGTCCCGGGCTTGGGCGGCCGCTTTGGAGCGATTAACGGCGCGCCCCGGTTAGGAGGGCACAGGGATAACGTCACTGCTAGAGGGCGCTGTGGAAATGCCGGGATGCAGAGGGGGGAATACAACGCTTTAAATTATCAACTAGTAATTAATCTTATCTAAATTTACGGAATGCTTTCTTCCCCTAATTATTTATTCATAACCTATATCGTGCTCTCTGTTACTTTTTTTTTCTTTTTGATCTTTTAGGGTCCAAAAAAGAAAAAAAAGGTAGGTAGGTAGATATATGTTTTAGTTCAGCTGCAACAGTTTGGACCTTGTAATGTTAATTTACATAACGTAGCAAGACAATTACATTATTTTGGAAATTATATGAATAAAACTATATAGTTTTTAATGCTGGGATTACAGGAAAGTAGCAGTTGCTTTTGGACTGAGCAGCTACAGAACGGTAGCTGTATCTATTTTTCAGATGTACTGTTATTATTAAAGATGTTATGATACCTTATGGCGTGATAGTGTGCTCCTGTTAAAGGTAAAAAAAAGCTGTTAAAACCAAAGAACAATTCTGAATTTCAGCTGCTTAGTCAAATTTAAAAGAGGGGCAGATATCACCAAAACTTTAAGCTTTTTGAGTGTTTTGCAAGGAGTCTGAGTACTTGTCTCTCGCCAGTGGATGTTCGGGGAGTTAAGCTCCTCACTTGAGCAAGTTAGGTGCCGTAGCCCGGGATGAGTGCCACTTCATTTYGCATTGCATCCATGTTGCCTCTGAGCCTATTTGCATTTTGCATTTTCTCTGTTTTGAATAAATTTTGAATGCGTCTGACTGCATTTAATTTCACTTCAGCCACATGTGTCCGCATGTGTCAGTGGCAGAACGCCGTCGTTCGGCTAGCGCGTGGATACACTCCCAAATGCAAACCACTCGTTTTCCTTGATAATCTGGCCACCTATAGCTTTGCTTTAAACCTTAGTCTAAACGGCTGTCACTCTAGTTCTCCATATGCTAGAGACTATGTAGAAAGTCACTGCTTCTTTTCTTATACAAAAGAATTGTATTTTCATACAAAAATGCTCAGGCTGCTTGCCTTCGTGCAAAAGAATTGGCTAGAAGGATGGTTTCTAGGAAACTCAAAATAGTTAACCTGGGGGAAGTCCTATGCCTTGGAAAGAAGCTAGGCTTGAACAGCTTGCACTCAGAAATTGCAGTTAGTTTTCATTATTGTCATTAGATCATGTTTGTCAGTTATCTTGTGAATTCAGATATTTATGAAAGCTGCATTTGTGTATGTCTCAAAATGTATTTCCTAGTATTTTATGAACTCTCTGAAGTTGGGCCTTCAGCTTTCCTAGTAGATTTACCCCTTACACATTGGACTCCAGCCAGTTACTTTCTAATTTTCATATTAAATTAAGAGACTTAATACTTTTCAAAATGTGGGCATACAGCAGAATATCTAACCTAGAATAATATGTTAATTCTAAAAGCATGTATTATATTATGAAAATAAGAAGAAAATTGAGCCCATGATGTGTATTGCCTTTCTGGAGACTTTGTGGACTGTGTAGGGAGCCTAAACTCTTAATTCAGAAGTGAGATTAGAAATTCAGCGTTATAGAGTGTTGATACCTCCCAAAATACATTAATGTTGATGTTTTCTTTCTTTAACTTACTGCCAACMTTAAGGCTGGTGGCAAAAAGAAACTTAGCAAGGCTGAACGACTGCAGTTACAGAAAGAAGAAGAAGAAAGGCGGCTGAAAGAGGAAGGTACCATGTGCTCCATTTACAGGGAATGTAATTGCCCAGAATTGCTAATATTAACTGAATGCAGCGTAATGCAATCTCCCAAACTATATATGTACTTATATCTACATTCTGTTTCGCTTAAGGAATACAAATTCCTCTTCAGTGAACCAAATGCTGTGTTACTTGTGACAGTGTCACACATCTCACTTTCCTATTGAACATCTATTCTTTTTCTCTGATTATTTCTTCTACCATGACTTAGAATGTGGCATGAGGATGATTGGAAGATATAGAATTTGTTTCTCTCATGACATTATTTTAGAAGTATTTCCAACAGATGGAAATACAATATTTTGGACTTTTTCTCTCCTGTCAAGACTGATTATTAGAAGATGAGAGAAATCTCTGAAAATATTTTTTTTTCCAGAGAAGATCAACAGAATATTTTTATTTTCRTCATGTTAGCTTATTCTCTGAACAGGTGGCAGGTGACTACATGACTACAAGGATAAAATTTTAGTTCCTTGGGCTTATTTCTGTCTTTTATGAGTCTTTACTTAATTCAAATCTTTCTATTYTATATTCCTGTGTCCTTCAGACTAAGTCTCTGTGATGGAAAAGAGAAACTAAAAATTTGATCAAGAGTAACTCATCTCAAAAGAGTATTGGCAGTCTTTGAGAGATGTAAAACTTCATGTTTTTCATTGAAGAAATAACTAGGGTTGAGGTACCTGCCAAAAGATGCAGGAAAGCAGAGTAACAGAACCACTTGGACAGTTGTATCAGAGACATTTTATTAAGAACTTGGGTGTCTTCAAGCTGTAGATAAGGAAAAGGACATTCCTGCTGCTCTTCTGAGGGGGAAAAGAGAGTTTGCTGCCCTCTTTCTCCACTTGTGTTGCCACAGGCCAATGGGGGTAGGGCCATGAATTTGTGGGGTTTTGTAATGTGATCCAAACTGTTTGGACTTGTGTGGAAGCTTTCTGAGTGATGAAAATCTCTTTGTGTTGTGTATTATTGTAATTATTTTGTTATTACCACTAATAACAAAATAATTGGTTGGTTTTTATTAAGCACAATGTGATTATGCTATTGATATGTTTCTCACTCTTCAGAGGAAGCCCGAGTGCAGGCTCAGCAAGAGCTAGCAGCAAGACTTGAGAAGGAGAGACTTGACCGAGAGCAGATGGAAAGGCTCGAGGCAAAAGTGAGTTCACACCCAACTTAATAACTACTGAAAAATTCTAATCCTTCTGTTTTTAGACTTGTAATGAGGTCTGTAAAACATTACCAATTTAGTGTGTGAATKAAAAAGAATTTCCTCATATCCTCAGTGCTGGGAAGCAAGTATGAGAAACTTTCCAGCATCGCTTAGTTAAAATTAATTATGAAAAATGTAGCCAAGCCACTGAAAGCTATTGGCATGAGAGSTCACAAAATGAGAACGTGGTGTTTGGATTAATAAGTAAATAAAGCACAACCCATGCAAAGAGAAATGGCAATGATTTTTTTTTTTCCAAGCCAGGATTTGGCAAAGTATTTCTTTGCTTTAGAAAGGCTTGCAGAGATGAGATAAGGATGTGTGCCTTGACACCTGAAGTGTGTAAGGGCAGATGTATTGATTTCTGGGTATGCATGTGCATATGTGAATATTCAAATATGGCTGTTTATGAGTCTGAGGAAGAATGGAATTCAGGACAAAACCTGACAAATTATATCTATTATAAAAATCACTCTTGCATGTGCTTCTTGTCCTTTACATAGTGTTTTTCCCTAGAAAGAAAAGAGGAATTTAAAATCAAGAAAGTTAGATAGGAAAAATAATGCCTTRCACTTTCTTCCAAAACATGCCTACTTTTTCGATCAGCTCTCATTAGAGGTAGTCTCTTGGTGATTAAATGGAAACTTTCAAAGTGGGAGGATAACAATTATATGGCGTGTTGTTTATCATATAGCTTAGTAACGAATGTGATAACTATAATATCCTACAAATTGTTGCAAGCTTCTGTATTAAATATTTCATAAAAATGCAGATTATTAGTATATTTGAGTTATTTAAATGATTAACTTATTCAAATATCCCAAATTATTTTATTTGAYGTAAGATAATTGCAGGAAATAAACRAAATCTTTACTTCCTGTCTTTAATGTATACTTTTTTTAATAGGATAAAGAGCGAAGGGAGTCTGAACTTGCAGAACTTTGTTTGTTAGAAGAGAAGTTCGCGTCTGCAGAGAAGTGGAAAACAGATTATAGAGCGTATGCGAAGGTAAGCTTGCTTTTCAGAACTCCAATTTCACAGTGTTGGGTAATGAAGAGACTTCAGGCTGTTTCTCTACTTCTGGGTCCGGGAGTGCTGCATTTCTGGAATTCAGTTCTGTGTGATGGCTGGACATGCACATTCTCTTCCATGCTCAGTACTTTGGCATACATGGAAAGCAGCTTGGCCACATCCACCAGAAAGGAGCCTGATACAAAGAAAATAGGTACCTAGGCTGGGTGATCAAAGTATTAGGACCATACAGTTTACCCCAGCAGTAGCTTTAGTTATAATTGTAGTTTCAGGTGTTCTGATATTTTTCCTTTCTTGTTTTTATTTAGCTCATCCTAGTTTAGAACATTCCAGGAAAACAGCAACAAAAAAACAAACAAACAAAAAACCAACAAAAAAGACCAGAAGCCCCCACCACACAGCTCTATCATGGCCTAAAAATAATTTAATAGAATTTGAAATAACCAGCAGCATTTGTTCCAGTGGTCCCTGGATATTGTTTGAAGAGAGGTTGCCCAAGCCTCACTGGGAGTGTGACTTGAAATGTATGAAAATACAGCTAAGAGTTAATGCCAGTAATTTATTGTGACATGCATGGAGTTTGAATTATTACCCAATAATACTGTATGCCTATAAAGTTCAAAAATAAGATATGGGAAAATAGTATATATAACRATATCTTGCTCTTGCAATGTCTTGCAAAAAGATATCATCCAGTGACTGTCTGATAATGATATTTGGTTAGCTGGATACCAAATAACATTAAGTACACCTGTAGATGCATTTTTTTGTTCTGAATGTTACTTAATCTCTTGCAAAACTACTGCAGGATAAAGCATTTTGGAATAGACTTCTGAAATGCAGTTCTAGTTCAAACTCCTACTCCAGTTGGAGTGTCCTCTGCAGTTAGATGCAATTGCTTTGTTGTATTAAAAATCTCTCAGGATACAGAAACCACAGTATCTCTGGGCAACTTGTTTGCCAGTTTTACCTCTCTTACTGTGCTTTTTTATATCCAATTAGATTTGTCCTTGTTACAGGGAAACCCTTGTGGACATTGTCTCAGCACGTTATTATCCCTGTGCACCTCTGAAAAAACTTGGTCCTTGTCGTCCTTGCAACCACTCTCTAGGCGGGGGTAGGTGGCAGTTCGCCCCTCGCTCAGCTCTCCACGTGGCCACTTGCCCCTTTCCCTCCTGCGCTGAGTGGCCCCAAATGGTCACCCTCCTCCAGCAGCGGCCTCATGAGGGCTGTGTGCAGGGAAAGGGAGTTTCCCTTCAGCTCCCCCTGTGACGCTTGTTTGTGTAGCCCAGTGCTATTAGTTTTCATAGCCACAAGGGTGCACTGCAGTAACTTCACACTCATCAGCCATGGCACATTTGTTTTGTTTTTAATACCATTGTTGTTGTGGTTATTATTATTGTTATTAGGTGACAAGCTCTGACTTTATTGCCTTTGTCAATAATAGACTCTGGCAGTCATTTTGAAAGAGCGCAGTGGTTGTTTCTGGATATTTCTGAAAAACATTCCTCAGAAAGGGAAGAATGAGGATTTTAGGTTTGAAAAGTAATGATAAAGTGTAACTATTCTTTTAAAAATAATTCCTCACCTGTAATGCTGGTAGCTTATGGAAAATACCATTTCATTACTCTGCTATGAGTATTTAGCATGAAGAAAAGGTATAAGTTCCCTGTGTAAGGTATAATCATATACTAAATTTCTGAATTAATGTCTATTTAATTTTCTAATTAAWTTATGATTAACAGATACACTCAGATATTTTCATGCAATTCGCTCTTATTAAAGAGAAAATTCTGTAATTTTTAAGGATGCAATTTCCTTCTGAAGAAATGGAATCTATTTTAAGTTCAAAGATGTTCTTATTGCATGTTCTTATTACTGAAGGCTGGTAAATCTTTTGTGCAGGAGTTTTCAGTCCACTGAACACTTGGGTATGTAGAATTACAGAATCCTTAAGGTTGGAAGGGACCTCTAGAGATCATCGAGTCCAACCTCCCTGCACACACAGGGTCACCCAGAGCACGGGGCACAGGGCTGCGTTCAAACGGGGTTTGAAGATCTCCAGAGAAGGGGACTCCCCAACCTCTCTGGGCAGCCTGTGCCAGAGCTCTGTCACCCTCACTGTCCAGAATTTTTTCCTTAAGTTCCCGTGGAACATTTGGCACTTCATTTTGACCATTTTTTCTAGTCCTATCCCTGTCCACCACTGAAAAGAGGCTGCCCCCTCCTCCTCACTGCCTCCCTTGAGGTATTTATACACGCTGATCAGGTCCCCCCTCAACCTTCTCTTCTCCAGGCTGAACAGACCCAGCTCTCTCAGCCTTTCCTCACAGGGCAGATGTTCCAGGCCCCTGATCATCCTGGTAGCCCTGTGCTGGACTCTCTCCAGCAGCTCCACATCCCTCCTGTACTGGGGCATCCAGAACTGGACACAGTCTCCAGAGGTGGTCTCACCAGGGCTGTGTATAGGGGGACGATGCCCTCCCTCGACCTGCTGGAGACGCTCTTCTTAATGCACCCCAGRATCCTATTGGCTCCTTTGGCCACCAGGGCACACTGCTGCCTCATGGTCATCTTGTCATCCACCATGACACCCAGGTCCCTCTCTGCGGGGCTGCTCTCCAGCAGGTCAGCCCCTAATCTGTACTGGTGTCCGGGGTTATTCCTCCCCAAGTGCAGGACCCTGCACTTGCCCTTGTTGAACTTCTCCAGGTTTCTCACCACCCAGTCGTCCAGTCTGTCCAGGTCCCTCTGGATGGCAGCACAGCCCTCAGGGCTATCAGCTACTCCACCCAGTTTGGTATCGTCGGCAAACTTGCTGAGGGAGCACTCCAGCCCTTCATCCAGGTCGTTAATGAGTAAGTTGAACAGGACCGGACCGAGAACTGACCCCTGGGGGACACCACTAAGTACAGGCCTCCAGCTGGACTCCGAGCCACTGTCTACCACTCTCTGAGCTCTGCCCTGCAGCCAGTTCTCAATCCACCTCACCGTCCACTTGTCTATCCCACACCTCCAGAGCCTGCCCAGGAGGATGCTGTGAGGGATGGTGTCAAAAGCCTTGCTCAAGTCCAGATAGATGACATCCACCGCTCTGCCCTCGTCTATCCAGCTGGTCACTCCATCATAGAAGGCAATCAGGTTAGTTCCTTGGTGAATCCATTCTGACTATTCCCGAGCACCTTCTTGTCCTCTACATGCTTGGACACAACAGCCAGGATGAGCTGTTCCATCCCTTTTCCAGGAGAAAGTCAGGAGGCTGACTGGCCTGTAGTTGCCTGGGTCCTCCTTCTTCGGCTTTTAGAAGGCTAGTGTGACACTGGCTTTCTTCCAGTCCTCAGGCACCTCCCCTGTTCTCCACAACCTTTCCAAGATGTTGGTGAGCAGCTGAGCAGTAACATCCCCCAGCTCCCGCAGAACCCTGGGGTGCCTCCCATCATGGCCCATAGATTAGTGGGTATCAAGTTTCCCTAAGTAAGTGCTCTCTGACCCAATCTTCCTCTACCTGGGGCAAGTCTTCCTCTCTCCAGGCTTCTTCTCTTGTCCCTGGGTCTGTGATTCCAGAGGGCTGCCCTTGGTAAGCACTTAAGCAAAGAAGGCATTTAGCAACTCTGCTTTTGCTGTGTTTTTTGCAACCAGGACTCTCACCCCATTCACCAGCAGTCCCACGTTCTCCCTAATCTTCCTTTTGCCATTGATATATTTGAAGAAGCTCTTCTTGTCATCTTTAACATCCCTTGGATTTTGTTCCAAATGTGCCTTAGCTTTCCTTGTTGCATCTCTACATTCCCTGACAGCATTCCTATATTTATACCCAAAGGGATCTGTCCTTTCTTCCACTTTTTGTATACTGCTTTCTTCTGCTTGAGTTTTGCCAGGAGCTCTCTGTTCATCCATGCATGTCTGCTGCCCCTCCTGCCTGACTTCTTACTCATAGGGATCCACCATTGCTGAGCATGGAGGAAGTGCTACTTGAAAACTAACCAGCTCTCTTGGGCCTCCCTTACTTCTCAAGCTCTAGTCCATGGGATTCTTCCAAGTAGATTCCTGAAGAGGCTGAAGTCAGCCCTCCTGAAGTCCAGGGTCGCAAGGCTACTTACAACCCTGCTTCTTCCTCATTGAGTCTTGAAGTCACCAACTCATGATCCCTGCAGCCAAGGCTGCCCCCCTCCACCTTCACATCTCCAACAAGTCCCTCTATTTGTTAGTATGAGGTCCAGTAGTCCACTTGTCTTCATTGTCTCCTCCACAACTTGGGTCAAAAAGTTATCGTCAACACACTGCAGAAACCTCTAGGACCGTTTGTGCTTCACTGTGCTCTCTTTCCAGCTGCTATCAGGGTAGTTAAAGTCCCCCATGAGAACCAAGGCCTGTGACTGTGAGGCAACTTCCATTCCCTGCAGCAGGGAGTCTGCCACGACGATCACTCGCTGCTTCTTCCAGGCGCTCCTTTTCTCCTTAGCGGGAGCAGCCTTAAGGCGCTTACTTAACTGCCTCTCTGTAGACAAGCTACTAGATGGACCTTGGTCTGTGACCTCATTTGTCCAGTCCTCAAGTTCCAGGGCCTCGTACCTGTTGAGTGTGGTCACTTGTAGGGATGAGGTGGCCCAGCAAAGGGTTCTCCTGCCACGTTGAACATGGACTCCTTTCCATGGTTGTTCATCACTTAGTACTGTTAATTCTGTCCCTCCACTGTATGGCAAGARGGYAGTGGATTTTCAGATTGAGTTGGGGGGTTTTCTGGGTGCCTTTCTACCTCCTCCTTCAGCTCYACCACCAGGCTGAGTAGGTTGTCCACCTGCTCACAGCTAAGGCAGATGTCCTGGTGACATGGAGAGGTTCAGATGCTCCCCACAGCTGGAGACCTGGACTGCCGTACGTTACCTTGGCAGTTCAGTCTGCATTGCCAAATGAACAGCAAACATTAGGTGGGCAGTASTATCTTAATGCATTAGTACGAAGGTAAATCACTTTTGTCTGGCGTCCTTATTACTAAGAAGCCAGGAGATATAATGGTACCATTTAGATGCGGGTGTTGCTATATGTAGTTGTCCTTCAGAATCCTTCCTTTTCTTTTATTAATGACAGTTTTATGTACCACATGCCCATATCTTCCTTTCTTTTGATCTTCTTTTGTAGTGGGAGCATTACATTGGTTGTGATGGAAGTCCTGACCCAACTGTGCTACAAGAAATAAATACTTTCATGAGCTTGTGGCGTGAAGAACCAAATGAGGACATTCAGTTTGTGATGGAGAAGGGAAAAGAAGTGCTAAATGTAAGTGTTAAAATGGCCTTCTCCAAGTTAAGGTCACTTAAACTTAATATCCTTTTTCTTCTATCATTAATATCTTCTTMTTMTTATTATTATTATTATCTTGTATTCCAATATCCATCTCCCCTGCTCTTTGCATTTTTTGAAGTCTTGACCCAAACATATCAGCTCAGTGCACAGAAGTCTCATTGTGCAGCATTTACATACAGTAAAGTGAAATACAACAGAACGGGTTCCCAAAGTATAATACACCAATTGCTGGATTTTGAGGCAATTGTAAAAAAAAATATACCTGATATGTAAAAATAGGGCTTCATTTTCATTATTGCAATTTTATAGCGTATTTCAGAAAATTAAATGGTACTTGTAGAAATTGGAGGTGAAATTTATCTGCATAATGCACATTTTGTTGGGCTGCTSTGGTTCTGGGTGTTGACTTCCCATCTCGCAGTGCTTGTTAGTGCTCAGTTACACTTTTCACCTTCAGTGTATTGCCTATTTCTGAGCCAACAGGGAATATACTATTTCCTTTCCAAAATATTGTTAGCATATAACTTCTCCCTTTCTCYTTTACACTGCAGTCCAAGCATAAAGCCTGGTAGCTACCAGAAGCTGCCTTTGCTCCTCTGCTCTTCCCCTGCTGTCATTTCTTTCTCTGCAACRCATGCTTCTTTCCCCTCTTCCATCTTTCCCCTCCAACACTGAAGCAGTCACAGCCACTTCTTCTTCTGTAAATACATCCTACCTTTCACCATATGGTCAGCAGACATTACAATACATTTCATTTCATAAGATGTGCATTTTTGTTTCACTTCTGCGCAAAATCCAAGATGATGTCAAGAAGTATTTCTGTTGGCTCTACAGGACCAACTGTTTGTTGGTCCAAACAATTTGAGCTTTTCCGTCCTGCTCTACAAGTTCTCAGTACTCAGAGCTGTGAGATCCCGTGTACCAGCAGGTCCTAGTTGATAAGGACCTTCTTGCTGTTGAGGTTGACCATGGTAAAGATGAAATGTAAAAAGTGATAACACTGGATATAATTTTGCTGCTTTGCACATCTGAAATGAGGATGTAAAATACACTCTGATGCTTCCTCTTTTCCTCATCGTGATAGTTCAGCAAGTCTGAGGAGTAAGGGCAAARGAGGCAACACATAACTTGTCTCTGCAGTGTCCTTTTCTCAATGAGCTTCTTCAGACTTCAATTTAAAAAGCCTGTTTAATTCTGTTCTGTGATCTCTTTTCCAGGGCCTCACAGAGCATAAATTATCCGTAGCCTTCCATGGTAAACCATGGTAAACGCTGTCTAACTAACTTGTTCTTAGTTCTTTTGTCTTTTTTTTTTTTTTTTTTTTTTCTCATTCTTTCTTCGCTTTCTGTGAGGGTTAGTCTCTACTTAACACCCCCCAGGTTATTTATGTCCGTGTTTTGTACTTATGATAGCAGAAAGGTGTTCCAAATGTGGAAGTGTTTAAATGTTTTCTTAATAGGCAGGTGTTTAGTCTGAAGTAGTAGTTTGAAAAGTAGTTTTGTGAACTATTTTATCAACTATATCATCTTCATTTGTAAAACCAAGAAGATATTTTAAAATGCTAATTTCCCAATCATTTTATATTATCATTCAGCCAACTTCAAACTATAAACTTCACGATAAACAATCTTAAACTCGTCAATTTTTCTTCTCTTTTGGGTGATAGACACTGACTTCCTATGGCAATTTGCTAAGTAACATTTAGTGCATTTCAAGTATGTTTGCTAAGATGTTTCACAGTAGCAGTTAAAATATGTTACATTAGCAACTGTGATCTGCTTGCTGTCTCCTGCCTGATACTCTAAGACAGGTGAGTTAATATTTTCCCAAGATTAGGACAATTCTTGAGCAAGRAAAAGCAATTTGTATAGATAATATGAAGCAAACTGTTCCAGCTATGGTATGTTTACTAACACTAATAGATACAATTTGTAGATCAGGAGTGAATAATAATAAAAATTCCATTAATGGGGTTGAACTTGAGTTTCATAGGCAGTACACCGATAAATATAATGGTAATAAAGGATTGCTGTTAATAGATCAGTGCCAAAAATACTCGCTAACTAGAAATTCCTTAGTCTTACACAAGCATTTGGATGCTGGATATTATGGTTTAAGGGAGAACAACAATGTTATGGTTTCAAGTTTTAAGCTTCACATTAAGGATTGTACTGAGTATTAAAATATTTGCTATATGTCTCACTGGGAGATTTTCTTCTTTTACATTTCCTAGTTAATTGAGAAGTTGCAGTTTCTTTTATTGGACACACCACCAGATGAGATAACAGAGAAAGAAAGAGTTCAGTACCAGGGAACAATTTTGGACTTGCAGAATCTTCTTCATCAGAAGTACAATGGAGCAACAGAGCGCCTGCTTAAAGTGAGCAAGATCTATGACTTTGAAATTGTAATGCAAGCTACGGGTATAAATCGGCTACAAGGGTTTTGTTGTGGTGGTTGTTCTGTTTGCTTTTTATATTGTCACAGGGGTTAGTATTTGAGTTTCTAAATCATGTGTACAGCAGATATCAGACTCATATTTCTTCGATAGCTTGGTTAAAATTCCCATCAAAAAGCATTTAATGTCTAATTGCTGTTGGACATTAATAGATTTTTGTAAGATGTGAAGAAGTCAGAAATACAGGTAACCACATGAAATAGATTTCTTCCCTGTTTTGTGATTTAATCTGGAAGATAGTTGTTTGTACAGAAGTTGTGCATGTGTGTGGTGAYCACGGCTCGGCGGTTCTTCCTCCTGCTGAGAAGTGTTCTTGAAGGCAAGTGATTAAGGACAATCCCTTCCTTAGTCTGCCTGGCAAGGCAGAGCCTTGAAGGAAACACTGAAAGATCCCACATTTTGSCAATATTTTGACTGACAGAATTGATGCTATCCAAGGGAGAAAAAGAGCATTAAGTAATAACAAACTGACTTGAATTCATATCTGTTATGTTTTAGCACATAAATACARCATATCTGACCTTGTTTTGGTGTATTTTTATTTCCATATGTGGTTTCGATTTACTCTGGAGTAAATTTAAGTAAATCAAAGTAATGCAAATAAGAAGGAATTTTCATTTAACCTGCAGGTTCTTTTTTTTATTGTTTTTTTGCAGACAGATGATAGTATGTCTGAAGATAATGACAGTGGAAATATGCAGGTGGTCATAAAGGATAATAATGTTGCACTCTGTATTTGGGCAAATTTGAAGAAGAATATAAGGTACAGCATACTAAAACTCTTATTTGAGATGAAGTCTGGCTTTGGCTACCTGGGTCAAGCATCTGTTGCTGGTAAACTTTTTAATATTGAATAGCATTTATTCTACAGACTCAAAATTGATGGATTTCATAGTAGCCTCTTGGTAAGGAAAGTGCTGGTCCCATCAGAGTTCAATTTTAAAGGAGATATAGAGTGTTTTACATATGTGTATGTGTGTTTGTGTGTATGTGTGTATGTATATATATTATATGAGAGAGAGAAAATATATATCTTCAAAAAGCTACGGTAGAACATTGTTACTGACAGAAGACCCTGGCTAAATAGCAGAAGAATAAAACTTGAACGGGGAATTAAAGTTTCTCTGAAGGCTCTGTTTCTTGCTGATGCATGAAAACAACTCCTAAGCTATTAGAGTTTTTTTTGCAAAGTGCTGAATGGTCTTTTGTGCTCATTCCTCTGTCAAGAAAAGTTCTAGAACTGGGATGTAAATAGCCTCAAGATTTGATTCTGAATCTGGAATTATGGACTGAATTGCCATTTATCTAATGTATTTTTCAATAAATTTTGGAGCAGGCATGATATTCCCACTCAGCAAATATAAGAAAAAAAGCAGTGTAAGGACTTTACCAAGGACCCTTTATTCCTTTAGTGAAGGAAAATTTCCTTCTCCTGACCTTTGCTCCAGTAGCTAGAAAGCTGCGTCCCAAGGGCTGTCAGACTGACATGCAGCACGTACCATTTTGGTGAGATGTTACCACGTTTCACTCRGTTTGGGGAACCAACTGCCCTTTATAATCCAGAAGGGATTATAAAGGGGGTTTAATGACAGCTATCAATACAAACAGGAAGGAAGATTTGGTAACCACAAACATTTTTTCTTCACCTCTTTTCTCTGAGAATGTGCTATACAGTAGAAGAGAATTTAGGTGCTGCTTAGCAGCTAACAACAACTTGAATGCTCATGAAGAACATGGTACACATATAAAAACAAGTCATGCCGATTTTACTAAATGTTTATTTTACAGGTTCAAATCCCACGTGTTTCTGGAGACAAAGCATGGATTTGACCTTCCGAAGTCGCTGGCTGTGAGCAGCATCGCTGTGCGCATCTTTCACACTCACTACGATCACGTCTCTCCGCTGTGGCTGCAGTGCCAGCGTGCCCCAAAGCTGAAAGTCTCTGATTACAGAGAAGCAACTGGAGACGTGAAAGARGGGGTAGGAGCAGCAGCAGAAGAGGAGCAGAAGGCTGAAGGGGAGCCCAGCACAGCCACCGAGGAGGAAATGCATTCTGAGGGGCTAAAGGTAGGGAGGCAATCCTGCAAAAACCCCTTCTGCAAAGCTGTTCCTCAAGGCTCACTTACAGTCACAACTTCCTAGCATGTCCTGTGCCCGAGAGAGGTTGTTCTGCAACCTTTTTAGACAAGTCCTGTTTTGATAACACTGTGCCATACATCTTTGCAGGGAGGGCCAAGCAAAATGATCAAAGTCGTACGAAGGTTGGTCAGAGAAGTTTTGGTCAGACATTGAAATCGGCATGAGGATTTTACTGGCGTAAGATCAAGCCAAGAGGAACGTTAGATGATGTTGTTAGAGATTTCTATAAATATATTTCGGGGCAAATACCCTCTACTTCTAAGAAATGGACATGCTTATCACTCCAGGAGTCTAACGTTAGAAAAATTTATGACATTCAGAAAAGAATTTAGAGTGTTCAGTCCATCCTTATTTTGCTATTGCGTAGCTGCTCAGTTCCTCTATGTTGAAGCCTTTGCCACTAAAGGGATCCCAAAATCCTGTTTCTACCGGTGTGGTTCTCTTTTTCTGCCCACTTTAGTGGATTGTGGTGGCATTAGGTATTGGGAGGATTGCTTGTTTGGATTGTTTCAACTGGCTTTGGGTCTTTGATGTGTCTTATTGTGTGTGACCTATGGATAAAATGATTCAAGCTTACTGTCTAAAATTTCTGCAAGAGTAACTGTAAATCCTCCTGTGTTATCCATGTCTACAGAAACAGTCATTGTCTTCCTCCTTTCAGCTTAGGTACCTTCATAGTAAATCATTACCTGAAGTCCTCTTTTAGTTAGTTCCCAATTCCCTTTTTGATTGAGACAATTTGTATTTTAGGACTTCTCACTTACAACAGTCACCTTCATGCTCTGTATTTTACTCTTTCTCCTTTACTTTTTTGGGACTCACTCTGTTTTCTTGGTCAGGCGTTGTGATTTTTCCTGTTCCCTGCCGTGTCCGAGTAAGCTCTCTTTTTCCCTTCTGCTTGATGCCTGTGTTGGGAGCTGCACATTCTTCCTACTTGCTGGCTGGCACAATCGGAGGGCAGGATCCCTAGAATCAGATGCATGGATCACACACAAAAATGCCCTTCTTATACTGCTGTACTGGCTCTTACCACAGGGATTGGGCCAGAAATCTAGGATAATGCTTGAAAAATAGACAGAAATATGAGAAAGGGAATAAAMACCCTAAGCAAGACATAAGCTTAGACTGGTAGGGGGGTTTCTCGCATGATTTCATTATGGCTTTAAATTCAGTCTGGACTTAAGGTTGTTTTGTACATCCTTGTAGCCGCAAGGTCAGCATAAGTCTATCTTTTGCGCTCCCACYGTGCTAAAAAGGTTATAAATGCTTGCATGGTGCTTGGAGGTGGAATTTATTGATGAAGTGGGTTAGTTTTTGCATGTTTATCTCCATGTACTTRTCCAGTTGTAAGGCAGAAGATGATTTCTTTGCAGATTCAACTCATAGTCCTGTCCTAAAACCTTGACCCTGTAGCAAGATCTGTTGCAGCAGGAATGAAACTGTACAGTTTTCCCTTGGGCTGTTGCTCTGAAGGAGGTGATACCCATTCTTGCTCTTGCTCTTGCTCTTATTCTTGCTCTTGCTCTTATTGTTTGTGTTTGTCTAGTGAAAATGTCTTTTGCTTTTTGTCTAGAGGACTAACTCATTCAAAGAAAATGCTGATGACATAGCTGGTGGAAATGAGAAGACAGAAGAGGCAACTGAGAAGATATCAGGCATCACTGATGTACCRTCACAAGGTATTTGCTTAGTTCTTACATGCAGCCTTGCAAAATTACTCATTCTAAATAATTTATTTAGGGGAACATTGTTAAATGAATGGAACAAAGATGATAAGTATATTGTTGTTGTGATGACACTTCGTTGACGTTTTTATTAATGATTGTTAAATGTGGGGAGAGAAAACATATAGGGTAGATAGGGAGGTGGATTTTTGTCTCTGCAGTCTGAGTGTTTGTGGGTGGTTGAGCCTGGCTTTATAAACGTGCTGCTCTGGTGAGAGAGGCTTCTCCTCGGGGTAATGAAGCCAACGGGCAGCGCGAGGAGCACGCGGGTACTGCAGCTCTTACTGAGATTTACTGCTACGTGTGCCTGAAGTAAGATGTATATTGAAGTACTTTCTAAAAGAGGCCCTCGACCCATGAGCAAGAACTACTGTATATTAAATATTTCTTCATATATTTTATATATATATTTCTTGTTTTATATATTTTTTCAGTATTGGTGTGTCCTATTGYTTAATAAGCCTATCAGTTTTCTTTTGGTACTGTCATAAAATGTCTTCAAATTCAAAACTGTTCAGGCTCCTGTTTGTTTTAGAAGAACCATGTTCTTTGTTGAACATGTTCTTTGTTAACTTTGTTGAACGAAGGTTAAAAAGTTAATTTACCTTGGAAGGTTATAGGGGTTGTTGCTGTTCAGAAGATGTTAGTTTTTTTTATTGTTATCTTAAGAAGCAAGATAACGGGCAAACCACTCTGGTAAGGACATGTCCTCTAACTGCAGGAGGAGCTGAGGCTGTAGCACACATGCACTTTTAGAAACCTCATTACCAARGCAAGAAATGTTTTTCTTTTCCAGTTGTCCCGCTATCCTTTTTTGCCTTTTTGGATTAGTTGTTGAAAGGTTTGTGGAACCAGCAGCGGGTGCTGAAATGCTGCAGCCCACAAAGCCGCTGTGGGGCAGGGGGGCTGTGCAGAGGCACAGGGCTCGGGCAGTACAAACTGCCCGGGTGGCAGTGTCAGCGCGGAGCTCCCGCAGGCTCTTGGTTCGTTCCCGTTCCAGCGGTGCTGGAAGAGGCCGGTGCTGCAGAGGAGCAGGTTCCCGACGCCAACGTCGTTGACCTGTGGCAGTGGGTGCCCGTGGGCGGCGTCTTCCACACGGCCGCGCTGCAGCTGCCACCAGCGGCCAGGGAGCTCCGGARCTGGCGGATGGTGGAGGTGAGCGAGGGAGCGGGCGGCCACGCGCGGGAGCCACCGTCGCGCTTCCCGCCGTGAAGCTCCTGCCCCGCTCTGCCCCGACAAAGGTCCTCGAGCGGGGATTAGAAGAATATCCGTATCCCCCGGAATCGGAGGAGACTTCGGAAGATGCCACCCATCTGCCCATAGAGATCACGCTGAGCCTGCCTGAMCACGTGCTCTATTTTGAGGCCCCTGTAATAGCCCGCTGGGATGCTGCAGGTACCGGCTCAGAGCACAACTTTGTCCTGAGTTTGAGCAATGGAATTTAGGTCTAAGTCTCACTGATATTTCTAGACTCCTGCTGTAAAATATGGGAGTCAATTCAAGGCCTGGGGACTTCAGTGTGATTTGACTGTGGTTGTGTTGTTTCTGCCTTTTATTTTTAGTAGTGGAATTGTTGGGAATTTTCCATGGAATTTTTAAATATTAATGGGAAAAAAATCCTACAATTTAAAAGCGGGCAGCTGTAGAGTTGTATAAAACAAAATAAACTCTATTACAGTGAGGCAATATAAAATTTGTTTTGAACCAAATTAATTCCTATGTGTGCTAATCTTATTTTTTAAAAAAAGTCCAATTTTTGTAGTTATTAGAAAGATATGTCAGCTATTACATTCATGAAACAGTAGAACCAGTTACCCAGATAACTGAATGCTTAGAGTTACTGTAGGAAAGGAGCTTGGGGACCAGTGCAGGGGTCATTGTTCTTCTCTGATGAAGTAGCTTTTATGTCAGCATTAACCCCATCATGTACTTAAACTTTACATGAGTTTTCAATTTCCTGTCATAAGAAGAAAGAGAAGGGTTCCTTAAATGATTGCTCTTTACCTTGGGCCCGTTGTTTTCCATTGCACTATTATTTAACATAAGTGCTCTCACACTTTTTTTCCCAGCACAGGCAGAAGCTTTAAAAATCTATTTTTCCTTTTGATTTCCTTTTGGGAAGGCCAACAGTGGCGAACAGATGGCATCAGCAACACAACATATGAAAAAGAACAGAGGAAAGTCCATTTTGAGATGGATGCCTTTTATACGATAGCCTTGCTCCAGGATGCTCACATCAACATGCCTTATCAGGCTTGGGAATTGCGCCCTACTGGTACCGATGAATTATTACTTATAGTTACTACAGCCTTTGCAGAGGTTCAGATACAAGTTAAGGTACTATGAATGATTTGTTTATATAAAAGTCGTGCTGTTCTAAATGAGGGCTGTAGGGCACTGTCCTTCATTAAGAACTTGAGACACTTTCACAGCAGTGATTTGAATCTCATTTTGTCCCTGTTTACAATTAGGAAAGAGCTCTTCAATTCCAAGTGGTATAAGGAAGGCTTGTTACAATTTAAGTGTAGTTCTTTCCTGGCATTTACTTAGAAGAAAGGCTCTCAGGTTCTGCAAACTGCACTACAAGTGATTCAGGATCATTATAGACATGGACCAGCAGGGCAGCGCCACTTGTGAACTCCTAGAGTGGAACAACTTTCCACAGGTTCTAGGGATGCAAGTTTACTGACTGTAAAGTAGATGATGGATGTAATACCCAGAACAGCAAAGAAGCAATAAATAGGTGGGGTCCGAGAGAGAAAACAGCTTTTTCAACAACCTTCCTTTGCTTTGTACAACAGGAACATCAGTGCATGTTGGCTTCAGTCACGGTAGAAGAGAAGAAAGTGCTTTCCCTGTTGACAGGAAAATGGATGAGTCCAGTCCACCTAACAGTACTTTTGAAAAAGACTGGTATAAATATTTTCCCAGGAGAGTATTCTCACAAGTATATCTGTGTGAACAAAAAGGTGAGTGGAAAAGGGGCGTGCTTTCTGTATTTGCACAGAAKCAGCTGTTGGGGCAGCTGATTTAAGCAAGTTTTCTCTTAGATTTGTACAATGTAGAAAATTGGAGCAAATTGTGCATGCTTTCTTAACTTACTCTTTTTTTTTTTTTAAACTTATACTTTTTTTTTTGTTACAGGCTCCCCTAGCAGAAGTTAGGGCATATCAACAAATGGGACTTGTTGCATCTGCTTTTGCTTTCAGTTGGAGCAAATGGAATCTGGAATCAGGGGAAGAACAAATAGTGGTGAAGGTTTGTGGCTATAGCCTAAGTTAAGTAAAGATACAGTAACTTTAGTGAGTTACATGCCTTTTACAATCAGTATCCTCAAAACCTGACCTGTAGTGTTAGTGCAGCAGTTTTAAGATTTGTTTAACAGCTTTCATGTAAAATACTATCTTCAGTAAAGCCTCAGAGCCCCCTTTTCCACTGCTGCTCTATTTACACATGCTCTATTTACACATGCCTAAATGGGACACAAATCTCAGAAAGCTGATGACAAGCTGCCACCAGCTGTAACTGACCCTTCAGGAAACAAGGCTTCACCACTGCTAGGGTGGAAGAGGTGGATGCTGATTTTTCTCCACCTGGAGCCTGTTTTAGATGCCCTCTGAATGGCAAGTAGATTACCAACTTCCCCTATCAGTATTTGGAAGTTCATTCTTTGCAATATGGGCATTTTCATGTGTTCCCCATTGCATTTTAGGTCAGATGTGGAAACAGATGACCTTTAAAATACAGTTAAAAGTTCTCTGAGTAATTGTTAAAAAGAAGAGTAATCAAAAATATTTCCTTAGCAATAGCTATMAGTAAGAAAAAAAACAAAGCAAGCAACTGTAAGCACACACAGTTGATTTTTTGAAGTTTTGAGAATTTTTCCCCTACTTCAAGTTAAATACATCCTATAAATTTTTAGGCTAATGCTTAATCTCAGGAGCAAGGACTAAAGCCTAAGTAATGGCTGTTGCCCACGGCTTCTCACAACAACAGTCAGGAAGATGAAGAAAGCAGAAGCGGCCAAGCCTTGTGTTTTATGTCAGGGCAGAGACAGATGCAGTACTCACCTCTGCAATCATTCATGTTGATTTGGGAATACAAGAGCAGCACCTCATTTTGTTAGCTATACAAGACTCATACAGCAATTTTCCATTTTTTAAATTTGTTTTCTGCCTGTGTCCTAAGCTGTGTCTTACAGACMCCTTTTTTCCTGCAATAGGTAAGTGAGCATCTTAAAGCAGAGGCTGTTAAAGATGAAGACTGGTCTCTTTACATGTTTAATGGTCAGAGAGCACAGAGGCTCAAGATCACTGAAGCTAGTGAGGCTTTTTCAGAAGAGCTAGAAGATGACTCTGAATTTCACTCCACCCTCTACCATATGCTTAAAGACTTTGCCAGCAATGAAGCCATCAAGAAAGTCCAAACAGCTGGCTTCCTGTTCACTGATACTGTATATCAGCTGCTCCTTGCTACAAGAGTATTAACATACTCTTAAGCAGACTCTTAAATACTGCACACAGTCCTTTAAAACTTTATTATCAAAAGCTTTCAATAAAGTTACATTTCAAAATCTTTAATCCTTTCATAATCAAATCATTAGAATAGCTAGAATAGCTTTAATGATGGAAATGCAAACAGTGTTTTTTTGTTAAAATATACAAAACCCTCTTTATTCCATCACAGCTAGACCATTTAACCCCATTTATTGCTAGCTGTTCAAAATCACTAACTAGTTTATTCTAAGCTTGAATGAAGATTGAGACTTTCTAGGCATCTGGAAGACAGTTATTTTGTCAAGGGGGAAGGTGTGGGGAAGTAATCATTTCTCAATTTCAAAATCATGCTACAAAAAAAAGGAAGAAAAAAGCCTTAAATATTCTATCTCAGCTTCTTATACAGTCAGCTTAAAGTCAGAGAAGTTCAGCTTTACGAACTGAAACTYGGAACCTGTTATACTGGCGGTGGCCCATTGTGTTGGAGTCCTGTATAGGGCCACAACAGTTGCTGTAGTGAAGTCCAGGAGTCCCCTGTTCCTACAGGGGCTGCATCTGCTGGTCTTTGAAGAGACAGCCCAGTGAGGAAGCTTGTGAGAGCAGCAAGCAGCACCAGGATGGAGACAGAAACCCAGAGAGTCTTGTTAGCATTGCCAAAGGAGGTCTTGAGATGAGATGCCCAGGATGACATTAAGTTGCACCTGCAGAAAAAAAGTCCTAGTTCAGTTTTCCTTGAAAACTTGGAGGAGAAGAAAATAAGACACCAAAACTGTCTTGCAGCTCATGAAACACTAACCTTGTTTGTAAGCAGCAAGAAGGTGCTGCCCGTAAGATCTTAGTCCTGCAATTAGCTACCACCATCCTTTGTCCAACAGCAGGAAGAAGTGATATTTATCCTTACTCTCTATTCACTGTTTTATATGATAGCTGAAGTAGCTCTTCTGATAAGAACTGGTGAAAGGCTCAAAGTACAGCCTTAGAGTAGCATCTTCACTCAGGATAAACAAGTTCTCTGCAGGGAAAGCACAGCCTACTTCTTTCTGCAATGCAGGAGCGCAAGCATAGGGGCTTCCAAGGGACACTGCTTTAAGACAGCGCTCTGTTGCTTAAGAGAGCCAGAGATACTAGTTGGAATAATCTAGAGTAAGTCTCAACAGTCTTACCTGACCCTCAGTTCCTACCAAAGCTACTTAGTTTGCAAACTCTTAAATCCCTGATCATTTTACAAGAGTTCCTCTAATACGACCTAGYAAGTCTAGCTGTTATGGGCATCACAGCACTCAATTGAGCTGCCACTGGACCACTGGGCTCCCATTTATTTCACTGCGCAGTAGTTAATGCTGTTGGAGGTCTTCTCAGGCTCCTGAGAGTTCCCATTCCTTATTTATTTGGTTGTTGGTACCAACTTTTTAACGATACAACTTGGCTCTCCCCCTGCCCATCACCACCCAACCACTCCTTTAACTGTTGGCAATTTGTGTGACTTACGCTGACTCAAGGCTCCATTTTGATGGACATTTCCTTTTTTCAGAGATACTTTCCTTCCTTGCTTTCTCCTCTCCTACTTCAGGAGAGGATTCTGACTCTTCGTTGCTGAAAGCATCAAAAGGTCCAAGACTTCCCATCAAGCATTACATTTTATAAAAGTGYACAATAACTTGACTTCATAATTATCAACCACTGGATAAGTGTTAACAGTTGTTAAAAACAAGAAAACAAATCCAAAATCCCACCACACATTTTTACGTATATATATATTTTTGAACTTACTTTCTTTCAGAACGTTCTTCCTCATACTCTGTCCAGGAGTATGTGCTGATAAATCGCTGTAGTGAAGGACGCTTCTCATTCTGCTTTGCTCCTAGCCGTCCCCTGTCATGTTTGAAGACATTTCGTTCAACTTCTGACTAGACACTTAACAGGAAACAAGAAATCTAGACACAGACTACATACTTAAATAGGCTTTRGACCAATGCCTTACAGAGTGGTTTTCCTGTTACCTTACTTGGACTTTAAGACAGTCCACCTGTGTATGTTTATATTATATATGCCGTATCCCTTTTTAAGGGAAAATCTATAATATTTAGTCAGCTACTGAAGCATGTAAGACTGCTGGGAAGGGGATTCCTAAATATTACTAATAYAGATATAGCTGAGCTGAAGAATACTTAATCCTGTTCTAAGACGAAGCCAAGGAACTTTACCAGCTGCTTGCTCTCCTGTTGAACTTGTCACTCCTTTCGTCTCCATCCATTTCATTTAGCTGGGCCTAAATGAGAAGTTTAGCCCACTTACTACATTTGCATTATCACAGTTAAACCTGGCCATGTTTTAGAAAGGCCAAAAACCTCACCTTTGGGGATCCTGACTTACCAGTGGCAACCCAGCTCCTGCATTGCCAGCGCCCCGAGGCAGCGTCGCGAGGCTGACCCTGCGCAGCGACGACGGTGGCTGTGCAAACAACAGGCGTTACTGGCTCAGGTACTGGTCACACAGAATATTGACAGTTTTGCACAAACTCTTAGGCCTAACTTCAACAAGTGACACAGAAATAATTAAAACAATAAACACAGTCCAAGCCACATTTGTTTAGGCGATGCCTTTTCACAGCTTCCCGCTTCCTAACATAGCCTGCATACACACCTTCCAAGAAACACTAGAATTAAAGTAAGTGGACGAATTCACACGGCAATGCTCACAGGAGTTCTCGCAGTCATTTCTGACTTGCTCCCACCTATTTTCAACTCACTGTACTGAGCCARTCTTCTGAAATACTCCAAGAAAAAACACATGTGAATGATATTTTGTAACCACTAGAGGAAAGTGGGACCATTTGGGCTTCTGTGAGCACTTCAGCAGCTCTAAGCAGAACCAATGCAGTTCTCTGCTGGGGGTGGTGGTGCTGCAAATCCACGTTCATGTTTGAGGAGACAAACCCGTATTTTTGGAGCAAAAAAACACCACCAAATCAAGCACATGTCACAAAACACCCTGTCATGACAAGGCAAATAAAAGGCACTGAATTAAATAACACAAAGCCTGATGTGAAGTTGCAGGGCCATACCTTGAAGTTAAGAGAATTTGACAGCTTCTTATTTGTAGATTCATCTGTGGAAAAGATCAAACATGAGAAATTGAAGGAATGGAAATGGAAAAACAGTGAGCTTTACATACAATTATGGGACTGACTTTTTGCAATACTTTTATAAATTTATTATATGTGAAAGATTTCAGAGGAGGACTTTATTTCATTGGTTGACTTGATAACATTCACACATCATTATGCATCCTCTGCAAGGACTGATTTCTGTTGCTGTCTTTCAATATGTTCTATTATTGAGTCAACCTTATACTACAGGCTAATCTCTTACAAACAGTAGCAGTTTGCAGCCAAGAAAAAAGGGATAGCAGCACAGAATTCAATACACCCCTGAGAAGATATTACTGGTGTGTCTGCATGGCTGCTCTTTCTGTTTTTAAAATACATGCCCTGTTACCTAATACTAATACCTTTCCTGGCAAAACTACAAGCATGCAGCATTATCTGGAAGGCTGACCACTACCATCTCTGCTTAAAGGGCAAATTCAGAGCACCTGCACTTAAGGAGTCTACAATTCCTAGCCGGAAAAGGAGGGCAGAAGCCACCTGTAAGGACAACTTGGAGGAATCAGATACCTGAAAATAGTCAACGGGAAAGCTCCAATATGAGAAAGTACCCAAATTTACTGCTCACAGGGAGCGAGACTGTCACACACGCTGCACTCAGAGCCAGACCTGTACTGCATGTGTATGGTAGCTTTCAATCCTGCCCTCTCCACCAAAAAGAGATTCCCACCAAAAAGAGTTTACATACAAGTCTAATTTCAGAACGTTGCTTCTAGCATTTTACTCCGATACTACTAGTATATTGCTGATTTTTACTCTATCTTTAGAAAAGGGGATAGAGCAGTTGCACAGCCCATCCCGTGTACCACACAGAGCTTCAGTTAGACAAGAGTCTGCCTGGCAAACCCTGCAAGGGGAGAGCCTGAGCAGCTCCTCCTGGTTACCTTGRTCTCCGAGAGAACTGAAGGACCTCTCGTTCTGGAGCAGGACCTGCTTCAGCTCCTCAAGTTCTGCATGTTCCTTTGTGTACATGCGCTTCAAGTTCTCCACGTGCTGAATCATTACTTCCACAGCCTTGCTGACCCGGCTCTCCTAACGGGGCAAGAGCAATGCGGCAGTGAGGAGAAAGAAGAAAAAGAGAATGACTGAGGAACCCAATTGTGCTTAGCTTTTGAGAAGAATTTTTCCCTGACAATCTATCTTGCATCATGATGCTATAACACCTAGATTTTTATACATCTCTTCAAAGTTGCATGCAACCTAATCCTTCCACACATGCCGAGGTTACAGATCTTCCTATTCTTCAAAGATTCCCCTCTTTAGCACAGGCTACAGTTCCCCCCCCTCCTTTGGAGCCTTTGCAGCCCCTCAACATCTCATTCTATCACCTCCAATCTCAGCTGCCGCTGCACACCTTCTAGTGCTGCCAACTCATATTTTCATGCTGCTGGTTACACATCATAATGTTTGAGCAGATCTATGTTTCAATACACTATCATTCTACAAAGCCCATAACAACCCCTTCTGTATGGCAGGAAATTATCATTAATGTGTTAAAACTATTGTTATTGCCTTGTCTTTTTTTGTACTGTGTACATCCCTGTACTGAAAAATCTTGTAATTTATGCTGTTTGTTACCATATTTTTGCTGTTTTACACTATGCCAGTGCAATGCCTACTGTTACAGTGCCTAGGAGTCCTAGCAGTAATAATGCAAACAAGGATCTGAAAAGATAAAGCCAGCATGATACTGTGCAACTCAGTCCATGTTACACACCAAGATGCCCAAATCCAGTTCTGGAATGTGAGCTCTAGCAACAGGCACGACTGTTCTTATAACACCTAGGAGCCTTTAGCCGTGCATGAAATACATTTATGTGGGAGCAGTTACCTGATTAATAGCTCCCAGCATCTCTGCTCTGCTGGCGACACGGGCTGCGTACTGTCCAAGGAACTGCAAGCTTTTCTGCAGCTTCTTAATAATCTCCTGTGCTTGGTTGTCTTCTTCACACAAAGGAACCAAAGCCTAAAGGCACATTTAGGGCAAAAATCAAATAACGTCAGCCACTGTTTGAGAAGGAAATGGGAACCCCAGTGACAAGGCTAAGGCATTTCCCAACAGCCTGAGTCACTGTAGCTTCACACAGACAGCAGGCAGACGCTTCACTTCAGTGTAAAACACCAACTTCTGAAGACACAGGTTCTTTCCAGGCATTTGTGCAATTCCTACACTGCCTGGACATACAGTGTATTTTGATGAAGAGGGCTACCCTTAAAATATATGCAAAAGATTTAGCGTTTAAAGGGCTTGCCTAAAGTCAGGCTTGCTCACACTAAAAGACCTAAAAAAGTTGTATCAAAAAGAAACTTCAACAACCATTCATTCCACCCACACTAGCAGCCTGGGCCAACACTAACCTCCAGCAGCTTTAGAGCATTTGTGATTTCCTTTTTCAGGTTTTCTTCAGCCAGATTTCGGGATCTCTCTTCAAGCTTCACTCTCTTGTCCAAGGTAAACAAGTCACACTTAAAACCTAAAGACAACCTCAGAAATTCAGCCTGTTATGGAAAAGGAAAAAGATTTCAGAACGTAGCAAGTAATGCAGACACCTACTAAGTAGATTTATATACAGTTAGGAACAGGGAGGAAAAGGCAAATGTTGCCTACAGCCCTAGCAGCAGACTTTAGACCTCAAAGTCAGGGAGTTTTGCCAGTCCTCCCCCATCTGCAGAGATGCAGGAAACATTTGCAGTCAGGACAGGTAATCTGGCAGCATGCAGCATCTGTGATCTTGGACAATACTGCCTTAAACCAGCACATTTCTGCCTGGTTAACAGTCACAACTATGCACTTTCACACTTGGAAGTAGATTTTGATTTATAGTAACAAATATTTCAGTTATTTTTGCAGGTTTCCACTTCCATCCCTCTTATCCCTTCAGAAATTTCAACTGAATTATTATTTATGCCAACAGGGCTCTGAAAGACAGGTTTCAGAAGCCAGTTCACAAAAATCCATCAAGTTCAAGCTACTAAACATCAGTCTTTCATATGGAAAGAGACTAGGATTTATCTACAAAATCTTTCTGCTCTCCAAAGCTTTTAGAAGTATGAGCAGCTGAGACTTACCTCCACCTCCTTCTCATTAGGAGAGTCACTGTAGGAAAAGGAGGGACAGTTGTGTAACAGGCTGCAGCTTCAAGTTATACACATAGGTGGTCATTGAAAGTCAAACACACTTACGGGTCATTTTGCTTTGTTTTATCTCCTTTAATGCCACTTGCATTGGGTGAGCTCCCTGAGAAGAGGGAAAGAAATGTTTTGAGACAAGAATAAAGAAAAACGCTAAGGAGTCCATAAAAATGTATGAAGCCCAAATAGAATTCACTTAATTTCCTGCTCTTACTAGTAAAAAGAGTTTGTGTACCCTGGAGCATATTAGGTCTAGGCCATCAGTAAGACAGTCCTGCAGTATCACTTAAGCCTCAGAAGTTAATTGTTGCCTGGCTTAAACTTGCAAGCAATTAGTTCAGGAACTGTTGCTATAGGTCTTAGTTTAAATTTCCAGGCCACAGTTTCACTAGTTCCTACTGAATTCCAAGGGCAAGAGCTGAGGCGGCTCCAAGACTAGAGATGCTCTAGTGCAGATCAGTAGAAACATCTCCCTGTTGTTATCTCACATCACACCGTGTTCTACCTAGCATAAAGAAAGCTGCTTTAGAAGCTGCTTTTTGGGAGAACAAGCATGCCAGTACTCAGTTTCAGATATCTTAACTTCTTAGCAGCTCTGAAGAAATTCTCCCTCCTTTCTGGAGGAGGATGGAGCTGGTTAGATTAGTATCTGTAGGAGTTGGAGAAACAGGTTTTTGCATGATAACATCTCAGCACTCCCTTCCTCCGCTTCTCACCCGTTTTGATTTCTGACTGCAGCTACAATTCCCCCTTCCTCCCCCAGATAAAACCCACACAGGCCACCACACACATGAACAATTGGTGTGCCCAAGCAGCAACAACGAGCACTTCACACTGCCCAGAGGGGACAAAAACATGTGCTCCAAGGAGTTACACAAGGCGGGTCAGCCAGATCCTCCTACCTTTCCTACTGGGAACCATAGGCAGCATTTCCTCACTCTGTTTCTTTTTGGTTTCCTTTTCTTGGTCCATCTCCTAAAGGCACAAAGAGTAAATATTCCAAGGGAACAGCCACAGAAAGCAGAGAGGGACTCTCAGGATCCTCTTCCCTTCTGTTCTGCCCCACCACTCAGACAAAGGAGTTGGATGTTTCTGTGTCACCGCCACCCTTACCAGGTCTTGCTTTAAAGCATTTTGAGATGTTTCATGTTCTTCTGTCACAGAGTAGAATTCCTTCTTCGACAGATTAGTTCCTGAGGAGAAACATTCCAGAAAACCAAATGTAATGATAAAAAGAAAAAAAAAGCCTGGAATGCACCAACAACCTGAGTACTACCCATTGACCAAGAGGTCTAAAACAAGAGAGGACATTAAGGAAGAGAGGCAGCAGCAAAGAAAACCAGACAGGTACAGAGAAAGATATTGAACAAAAATTCCCATGCTCAAGCCAACAGGAGAAACGAGCATTTGTAATCATCTTCAAGTATCCTCAGTATGAAAATAGTCAAAAAAAAAAAAAAAAAAAGAAAAACACATAGAGCTGCTGTTATAGAGGAGCTCAAGTACAACCAAATTTTGAAAAGCACATTGTTTAGATGCATCAAGACAGGTCTCAAACATGTCTCAAAAGGTGTCAGAACTGACATTTGAAAGAATATCATCCAGAAAGACAGCTATTAAAAATATGCATACCTATTTCAGAAACTAAAGAAAATGTCCAAGAGTCACAACAATTTCTACTGTAGCAGCAATTCCTTAGAGAGGTTCTGAGAGGTTTATTTGTTTACATAGTCATAAGCACATGAGTGCAGGCAAAAAAAATGGCTACCAGGAAAAAAAATCCCAAACTTTTACAAGAGAGATGCTTTCCTCTTTCATCTTTCAACTATTACCACCATTTTCACAAGGCTCCCTTTGGTTGCTGCCAGTCTTGTTGCTACCACAGCAGCCCCATGTATCCAACCCAGATCCTAAGCACCCYGAGGGGACACTGTGTAGATCTAACCACAAGCTTAGATTCATCCAGAACTCCATTTTAATACTAGAAACACTTCTTATTTGATGACATACAGCAGGGAGCAGGATCTCAGACTTCAGGCTGTTTGGAAGCATTCTGGCCCATTTTGCATATCTGCTTCTGCCCTGCCAAAGGGCACACATATATATGTATGTGTACATACACACACATGTATGTATATGTGTATATGTATACATATATATGTATATACACACACACACCTGCCACATGAAAATTAACTGCAGAGGCAGATGAGTAGAAAGAAACCATATTTATGGCATGGGAATGAATTAGACTTCATTAAGACTATGGAAAGAAGCAAAAGCACAAGCAGCAATAACAGAAGTTTTATATTTAGGTAAGGGCTAATATACAAGAGTGCTTGTTTGCAACTACCTTCTGCACTGTGTACTTTTTWAAAAATAGTTCAAATACATGTACACTCCAGTTCAGTTTTGCTTTTAGCTTTTCAGTGAAGGAGAAGCACAATCAGATCTAATAAGAATTATTTTTTTTTCCTAGCTATACATGGCCATCAGGAAAAACAAAAGCATCCACAAGTGTCTCTCCTACTTTCTTGGGTTCTGAATATCCAGTTTGAAAGAGCAGAAAAGGGAAGTGCTGCTTATTGCAATTACTTGTCACCAAACTTTTCAAAACCCATGGAACCATTCTCTTGCCTCCCCGAAGGTCTTTCTTATAAGATTTCCTCACTCTAAAGACATGCTAGAAGCCAGTGTTTCCTGCTTGCATGAATACTGCCTGCGTGGCCGCAGCGGCCACTGCAGCGATTTGGAACCAGCTGGATTCTTACCCCCAGCTTTCTCCGCTGCTACAGCAGCTGGCACCTCTTCCTCTTTTGCATGCGAGCCYTCAGGTGGTTTCTCCTCCATAACAAGAGAGTCTGCAACAAATCAGACAAGATTTGTCTGCTCTGCAGTCCACAGCAAGAGCACTTACTGGCCAGGAAACGCGCAGGCCTCGGGCATCTGTTTCCGAGCTCTCAGCACCAAGTTTGCAGATCGCTGTGCCCCGGACTAAGTGCTCACCTGCCGCGGCTGTGATGCTTTCCAAAGAGGCTGCCAGAACTTCTTCTGCACACGAGGCCAAGTGATCACTGCCAAAACAGAGTTATTTATCCAGTTACTTATATGTACTATATGACCTAGATGGAAGTTTTTAACAACTTGCACAAAAGCTGACCTGGATGGGATCAGACTCACTGATGTTGATGGCTCTGCACTGGTTATCTTAAAGGAAAAAGAGAAAAAAAATAGTATCAAGAAGAGGTCTGCTTTGCWAGTAGAAACATGTCAAGGTTTAATAATTCCTTCAACTGTATCCAAATATCTCRGTAGAGGAAAACAATAGTTAGTTGGTAATGAGCTGCAGGTTCCTTTGTTAGTCTATAGCCACCCATACCCATAAAATGTAGACAATGAAATTTTGTTAAGCTAAGTGATAGCATGATACAACTTAGGAGTGATAATCATCAGCAGAGATTTTATATTTCTAAATACAGTATTTCTGAGAAACTTTGGTCCTTGACCTTATGCTTTGTTTCTAGCACCCATCTTCTAAAGACAAAGCACGYGTTACCACACCAGCTTTCCATCCTAATGCTCTCCATAAAGGCAAAGTTAGTTTGTATTTAGCCTGTTTTCAAGGTCTTGAACTGCACCAAGTGGGGAACAGAGTTTCACACAGCTATAGATGCATGGCTTGGATAGTTGAGGGCATTAATGTTTTGCCTGAACAGATGATCTGGAAACTTGCATTCTGCCCTGTGAATTTCAGCGTTCATGTCTGGAGGAGGCTGGTGTTCGATGACCTGGCCGGGTCAGAAGGCTTCAGGYCTGCAGAACTTCAGTGGTTGAGGGCTTATGAGTTTTTACGCTTTTCTTGTAATKGTTTTGGCCCTGACAACATCCTCTCGAGAATATCAGTGTGCCAAGCAGGGAAAACACTTTTTGCTGCATTCCATTCCCCAGGTAATTCCAGATCACTTGGTCGAGGCAACCCAGGCACTGGGTGCTTTGGGCAGCGCTGGCAGCTCCCGCATTGGCGAGCGCTTTCCCCTTCCCTCTCCCACATCAGAGGTCATCTCTGCTCAGGAGCCCTGCCCCAGCCAGCTGGATGCTTCCTCTAATGCAAATCCAGGCTATTTTTATTCTTATTTGAATGTGCTGTGAAAGGTGAAGGAAGTGTAGCACTGCATTCGCCCTGCTCCAGCCTGCTCCACATGGGCTAAAGGAATATTAGGGAAGGAAGAAAAGTACTATATAAGAATGAAAAGAACCTAAATAAAGGATAGAATATGCTCCCCAACTTCCTTCCCCCAAAAACCTCACACAATCTGGAACTGAATAGAATAACAAGTTTTAGATGCTCTCTCCTTCTGCATGYGATCACAGCATTGGCGATTTCTGCTCGCAATGAAGGAAAATAAACCTTCAAGCCAATTTTTAAACCCTATAGTAGCTCTTAGTACTGTGAAGTCCCTGAAGATGAGGTATGATAAAGAGAAAGAAAGAAAAAAAGTATTAATCTATGGTCTAGATAAGCAAGCTTGTTGCAAGGGTCCTTCCTCCTACTAAAAGGACTGTATCCATTAAGATCCTGCAGCAGAATCCCACTCTTCTTCCCCATCCCCAGATCATTTCACAGTCCTCTACACACAGAGCAGAGGAATTCCAGCAAGAATCTTGTACAGCTTCCCCAAGACGAGCGTTATTAGTATTCTGAAGATAAAGCTTT